CGGGATTAAAGATAGCGATCTTTAGTCCCGGATTCGTAGTCCCGGTTGGAAAACCGGGACTACAGGGGGGTTACGAACCATGAGTAAAAACCCCTTCTTCACTAGTGGCATAGTCCATGTTCGTAGCTAGGATTGGATTTTTTTTTGGATGGAGGAGGTACATATGTTAAAATATAGCTCCAACAAGTATATGCGTGCTTACATTTTCAAATGTGTTCTTTCAGCTCTTGAAGTCAAATTAAAAATTTAATTTGGCCACCTTTTATTACTAATGTTTCACTTTGGATCACTATTTAACCAATGTTTTTACTTTGGACCAGGTATTTTTAACTTTGTGACACTTTGGACAACCCTCAACTCTTTTATCCATTTACATCTAACTTATCGTATGCCAAAATAATTGTCTTACACATAGCTATTACAATTAATTGATGAGTAGGAGCCGACGTAGTTGTGACACCCTAGCCCAATTAGTATATGGCATGTATAGCCCATAAGAGCTTTGTGCGTGTGTTTACTATCACATTTTCTTTGATACAAATATTTACTATCACATTGTTAGTGTAACAAGGGTAAAACCAATTTATAAGACATTGTCCCTCCAACCATATCACTCTCAGGTTAACCTTTTACACGAAGTAAAGATGGAAGTGTAAGTGGGGTTGTATGTGTAAGGGGTCACGCCTCTCGGATGGGTTGAGTTATGCGGTTCTAGAGTATGGGCTATTTCAAATGGTATCAGAGTTGACCCTCACAATTGCTCGTAGGGTAAGTGTGCGAACATATGGCCCGTAGCGCATGTGAGCTCTATGTGAAACATAGCATATGGTACCGGCACTGGACATACGGACATGCGCTAAGAGGGTTGCGTTCCCGGACATTTGTCTGTATGCTTGTGTAGCCATGCGAGTACATTCGACTGACAAGACATCGGGTCCTTTGAGAAGGTGTATGTGACATCCTGGCTAAAATTAGGATGTGGCACATGTGGGCCATGATAGATGTGTGCACATGTTACTATTATATTGCTAGTTTAGTAAGGGTGGAACAACTCATAAGGGCTTGTCTCTCCAACCATATTACTCCCGGATTAACTATTTTACACGAAGAAACGACAAAGTGTAAGTGTAGTGTTAGGTGGAAGTGTGTCCATACATCGGATTAGCTAAGCAATGCGGTTCTGGATGGCAGGCTGTTACCGTACTTGAGATCGTTCATATACGTGAGAATTGAGTAGGGGTGGTCCAAAGTATAACAAAGAAAGATTATCCAGTCCAAAGTGAAACATCGATACTAAAATGTGTCTCAAAGTAAAATTTACTTAAAAATATAGCATTTAAATTACATGTGGTGGAGCTCCATGAGGTAGGGTCGTGGATGGATTTCCCTAGGGTTTGCAGGGGGTAACCGATCCAAATGAACTTTTGAGCGATTCGGGGATTTCTCTCCCTTGTGGTGGGCTTCCCCTTCGGGACCGGGATCCCGGCCTTTTCGTTGTCAGCCAATCGAAGCCTCAAGGTGTATGCCTCTCCTGGTAGTCCCTAGATGTTTCCCTAGAGAGTAGTCGAGCCGCCGTTCACCGTAGGTCCTTTTCTGCCGCTGTCCTAAACCCACTGTCGCTGTCAACCATGGTGCCCGCTGCCTCCAGCCAACCCCGGCTGCGCTGCCACCTCTAGAATGTGTGCGAGGACCCCCTCCCCCGCCCCCCTCTTGCCGCCCCGGCCATCGGCCGAGCCAGCCCGCCGGCAAGCCTATGTCATGCCACCGCACGCTCCCCTTCTCTCTGTCATTGATGGGAGGAGGAAGACAAGGACCCTGATGTAAATACGAAAATTCAGGGTTAATACTATAAAATACCGAGACACTGGCTCGTGGACCCCCACTGTTTAAAATACATGCGCAATATAGGAATACGGCTCCACAGTAGGAAAATGTACTGGACAGTGAGCTTTAGTTCCTTTGCAAAGAAATTAATAAATCCAGGAAAAGATTTTCTTTTAATTATTTTGTAAGCTTTAGATCCATCCCGAGGTGCCGACAAGGTGGGTCCCACATGAGGTCGTTTTGTCTTCGCATGTTGCAACGCAGGGGTATTTTGCTAGTAGATTCCGAATTGGATCGGATCATATTAAAAGAAAGTGCTCATATAAGTTAATATAGGTTTGCAACCAATGGTGTTAAATATATTCCTATACGCGCAAAAGTTATATTAGACAAGCTAATTTTAACCGCTTTCCTGTGTGTACTACAAACCGTGTAAAATATACGTCCGCAACCAATGGTGTCAAAACTATTCAGCACATATGCACAAGAGCGGCATTAGAGGGGCTTCAAATGATTTCGTACATACATTATATTTTTTTAGAAAAAAGTACGAATTACCCCCTAAATTATCGCGGTCGACCGAATTACTCCCCTGAACCACAAAACCGGATATTTTGCACCCTATACTATTTATACCGGATGAATAACCCCACTATCACTGCTTTCAGCAGTTTTGATCAAAAACTTGAACACGTGGCGTCAATCTGGCAATCCAGTCAGCAAAAACAACAATAATGAATTTGTTGAGCCCACTTGACATCTCTCTCTCTCCCTCCCTCTTTTCTCTCCCCTCTCTCCCCCTCTCTCTCCAGCGGTTGGATGGGGGCAATGGTGGCTACGACAAGATAGAGGAGGCGGGGTTCGAGATAAGGGCGACGGTGAGCCGGGGACGACGCTAGGAATAGGGAAGGTGTTGGGTGGCGGAGGCGTTTTGGGCAGAGTGGAGGATTTCCGAGGCAGCAGCGGTTGGCAGGAGGACCATCGGCGACGGCGTGGGTGCCTGGCAGCAGCGGCGGCGACCGGACCATGGGCCGGCAGCGTGGGTTATGTACATTAAAGAAATGGTTGAAACTCCTCTCCCTGCCACCTAGCCCTCTCCCCGCCGCCTAGCCTGCACGCTCCTGCCGGGCCGGCGCACTATCACCACCGCCACTTGAGGTTTTTTCCAGGAGGGAGCCCATGTGCGAGCCGGGAGGGTTCGATACTTCCCAAGGGTAAAAAGGTCAATCAATAATTCAAAAAATCATTATTTCCTTTTTCTCTTCATTTCTTTACTGCTATAAGTCTAACCCCACTCACTTCCATCTAAACCATGGGTAAACGTCTTGTTCAGTTCAAAAAAGTGGGAGCAAAAAAAATCCAAAAAGTAAAGGTAAAATCAATATTGGACAGCAAAATAGGGGTAGAAACGAAATTGTCCCAAATAGTATATTGCTGAAACAGTAAAAAAAAAACCTCTACATTTTCATCCATTTCCAGATAATACAGAAACTAAAATAGTTGATACAAAATATAAATGATAACCCCACTTAGATAGCTTCATGTCGCATACATCGACAGAATGACGGCACGTCTGCCATCTTTGACCAGGGTTTCCCCTATCATCCACAATAAGTTAACCACCCCCACCCCCACCCCCACCCTCTCCTGCGGGTAAGGCATTTACCACGGTAATCGCAAAAGGCCATGTGATTTATCTTCAAAATTTTCAAGTCTCATGGTAGGGTTGTGGTTATCGTGCGATAATCTACGATTACTACATGGTTCCCATGGTCTTTGATGACCTCAAATTTAAATTGCATGTTTGTTAAATGATATGTCACATATTAGTCTATATTATTTTTTCAAATTGTTTTTAGATATTAGAAACATCCACCCAGGAAAGACAATCCATTTCCCCCTCCTTCCTCTTCTCTTTGCCCTCCCTCTCTTGCTCACTCTGCTAGCTGAATGCCGAGGAGGCGAGGAAGTACGTGAGTCGCGGGACCATCTCTCTGCACTCTACAGCGACGACATAGCGAGCAGGGGAGAAGCATGCGTGGATGCAGTGTGATGCAACTACTAGCTCGCGAGCTATTGCAACTTGCAGAAGTACTGTACTAATCAATTGACAACGATGTGGTACTGAACTGCTTATTAAGGGTGTGTTTAGTTGAGGAAATAAAAATTTTTGGGTGTCACATCGGACGTTTGACCGGATATCGGAAGAGGTTTTTGGACACGAATGAAAAAACTAATTTCATAACTCGCCTGGAAACCGCGAGACGAATCTTTTGAGCCTAATTAACCCATCATTAGCACATGTGGGTTACTGTAGCACTTATAGTTAATCATGGACTAATTAGACTTAAAAGATTCGTCTCACGATTTCCTCCCTAACTATGTAATTAGTTTTTTTCATTTATCTACATCTAATAGTCATGTGTCCAAAGATTCGATGTGATGTTTTTGGAAAAAAATTTTAGGGAACTAAACAGGCCTAAATTAAGAGACCTACCCTGCCGCATACCAATTTCTCTGCCTCGGCAATTGCAAGTGGGTAAGAAGATTACTGGCATAGCGTCCGACGACGCACGCGGTCCACGCAGACTTGCAGTGGCTGAACGCCTGAACCCCACAACGACAACCACCTCTAATCCAGTACTATAAATACAAGCGCATTCGACATTGGCAGTCAGGCAAACCGCAGTCTATTTCAGTTCTTACAGAAGCATGACCTCAAATTTGACTTCAAAGTTTAAATATTAAGTTAAAAGTTTCAAATCTAACTTTAAAGTTTTTAATCTACTTTCTTAATTTGTGTTTAACACAATTATTCATTTTTCCCCTTAGAGTTCAGTGAAGATAAAATCTTCAATCGAATGCGCGTTTGCCATTCGATTGGATCACGGACGAGTGAGATCAGGTCAAAATTTTATCAATATAATAATGCGACGAAAGAGTCGGCCAAACGTGGGTAACTTGACCAAATCTTGTTTTGGCTTCAGCTACACCGGGTTTGGTACGTTTACACAGTAAACACTCTTTCGTCGACACTCGCCAATGAGAAAACGAACAAAAGAACAAAATAAATGAACTATCCCTGTCCCATTGGGTTTATTTTTGAAGTCAATGACGATTACAGGACGCGTGATTATTATCCTGAACCATCTCCGATCCAGTATAAATACAAGCACCTTTCCACTAATCTTGTGATCGCCTTTTGCCGCGAAAGGTTAAGAAGCACTTTCTTCCTAAGCTCCCATTCTTTAGCTAGGACGGCTTGTCAGTTAATCCGACAATCAGATCATCACGTTTGCTTCCTCTAGCTAGCTGAGCAATTAATTGATTGCACTGGCCGATGGCCTTACCAAGCGACGTCGACACCGCTTCGACATCTCCGGCCCGGTGCATATGATGGCGAAAAACGGCTTCAGTTCCTCTTCAATGGTGATTGCCTGGTATGCATGCACGCGCATCCGATATCTCTTACTCCCAGACAAATATTCCCCGCACAAAAAATAGTTTATAGACAAATATAATAATATTTATAATATTAAATTAGTTTTATTAAATCAATAATGGAATATATTTTTATAATAATTTTGTCTTGGGTTAAAAATGTTATTATTATTTTTCTATAAACTTAGTAAAACTTGTCTTATAACCTAAAATAGAGGGAGTAGTAAATTATTATATTGGTGATATACGAATTTATCACGTATATATAATATAGTACACTAGTAAGACATTTGTTTCGATACATGCATCTGCCTGTTACGTGCGGATCGACGGGGAGACGGATTCTAATCACATGCTTGTTTTTTTATCAAATATTTTTATAACTATTTTGATGATATGCAATAAACGAGTGAACGTCCGTCCGGGTGATTACAATAGTTTGCCGATCGACCGAGACTAAATAGGCACAATATGGCTAATCTTGAGTGATATAACTATCCGGCAAAAAAGCATATCGTTTTTTTCATCTAGGATTTATATACACGGGTTCATGATGAGCTCGTGAGCTACAGTGTACATATATCTATAGACTGATACTCCCTCCGTTTCGTTTTATTTGACACCGTTGACTTTTTAGCACATGTTTGACCGCTCGTCTTATTAAAAAAATTAAATAATTATTAATTCTTTTCCTATCATTTGATTCGTTGTTAAATATACTTTTATGCATACGTATAGTTTTACATATTTCACAAAAGTTTTTGAATAAGACGAACGGTCAAACATGTGATAAAAAGTCAACGGCGTCAAATAAAACGAAACGGAGGGAGTATTTTATATCGATCACGCAGGGACAATGAGGAACACCGCCGGTGCGTCGCTGCCTGTCTTGTGAAAGGCGTCTATACCATGGAGAACGACAGTAACAGGCGCAGGGTGCATACCAACGCTCTCGCGCCGGCTTGGTGGGAGAGCTTTGGCTTCCGCCTCCTCCGAGTGATCAAGGACGACTCCAACAACAACGACCAGTTCATCATCGGCGCGGTATACGAGCATGTGCTGCCGGCTCTGCCTGCCAGCAAGCCCGGCCGCCACCCGTTGGCTCCTCACTACGTTGTCGCCTTCCGTGGCACCATGATATCGCTGTCAGCAAAACGGAAAGAACAAACTCTGAAATCGCTCACACTCGCTCACTCTGAAAATTGCCGGACAACGACAGTAACCTAAAGAAGTTCGGGAAACGTCAAGAACTGAAGAACAAAGTAGAATTTTTGTGCAGCGCAACCTCTGCTGCTTTTCTGTTTTCACTCTTTATTCTCCTCCACCAAAACGGAGTTTGTTACATGCACAACTGAACGGAACGAGCAACCCGGATCGGCTACTGACCGCGCCATCCCACGATCTGAAACCAGGTCATTCGGCAGCTAAACAAAACTGACAACATGCAGAAGGAAACAGCTATTCTACCGACCGGCCAAAACAACCTTCAGCCAGCCACTACGTTCATGCAAAACAGAAATATAAAATGCTCAAGATTACAAAATATCCAACAATTTCTCCCCCTAATCTTGACGCATCACACTGGAGACAAACCCAGCTTTCCCCTCAGCTCCAGAAATCGGACCTTGCCAAGAGGCTTTATCAATATGTCTGCAAGTTGTTCTGCTGAACTTGTGTACTCCACTTCGACCTCCTTTCTTTCAACCCTCTCACGGATGAAATGATATCTTGTATCAATGTGTTTGCTTCTATCATGAAGTACAGGATTCTTGCAGAGATTGATTGCAGATTTGTTGTCAACTTTTAACATGGTACAACAGGGCTTCTTCATTTGCAGTTCTCCCAGCAAACGTGCTAACCAAATCCCCTGACAGGCAGCAGTTGTAGCAGCAATATACTCAGCTTCACAAGATGATAATGCAACTATTTTTTGCTTCTGAGACTGCCATGTGATTAAGTTTTCTCCCAGCTTAAACAACACCCCTGTTGTACTCTTTCTATCATCCACATCCCCAGCCATATCACTATCACTATAGCCAACTAGCCGAGGAAATTTCTCTTCTCCCTTTCTGAACTTGAGACCAATATTCAGACTTCCTGCCACATAGCGCAAAATATGTTTCATGGCAGCCCAATGTTCAGCACCTGGATTCTCCATGTATCTACTAACATATCCAACAGAGTAGGATAGATCAGGCCTTGTATTAACCAAATACCTCAGGCTTCCTATAATGCTTCTAAACTGTGTTGCATCAATGCAATCTTCTACTCCTTTTTTCAGCTTCAGTCTAGCATCCATAGGAACCTGACAAGGATTGCAACCTTGCATCCCAGCCTTCTCTAAAATTCTTCCTGCATACCCAGCTTGGGACATTGTAATGCCTTCTTCAGTCTGTTTAACCTCCATTCCCAGGTAATAGGACAGTAATCCAAGATTACTCATACTAAACATACTTCTCATCTGCTCCTTGAATTTTGCTATTTCTGTCCCCAAAGCTCCTGTAATGATAAGATCATCAACATATACCCCCACCACGAGTCTGGCATTACCTTCCCCTCTAGTGTACACTGCATTCTCTGTTGCACTTCTTACAAAATCCAGATTTGCAAGTGTAGAATCCAGCTTTGCATACCAAGCTCTTGGCGCCTGCTTTAAACCATATAGGGCCTTTTTTAACTTCAGTACTTTGTTCTCCTTGTGCTCAACAACAAAACCAGGTGGTTGGACTACATACACATCTTCCTCCAATTCACCATTGAGAAAAGCTGACTTCACATCCATGTGATGTATTTGCCAACCCTCATGTGCTGCCAAAGCAACCAGCAACCTCACAGTTTCCATCCTTGCTACTGGAGCAAATACTTCTTCATAATCTATGCCTTGTTGCTGAACATACCCCTTTGCCACCAATCTTGCTTTGTACTTCAATATCTCACCTTCGGCACTTCTCTTGATCTTGTAAACCCATTTGAGACCAATTGCCCTATGGTCAGATGGTAAGTCACAGAGGAACCAAGTATTGTTACCTTCAATGGAGCTCATCTCCTCTTCCATCGCCTTCATCCAGCACTGCTCCTTCTCAGCTTCCTTGAAACTGAAAGGCTCCTGCTCCGCTATGAGACACTCGTCGTTGTAGTCGAAATCGAGCACCGGAGTTGTGGTGGCCAGCACATTGTTCACCGTCCGAAAACGGGGAGGAGCTCCATCGCTTTCAATACTGGCATCAGATGGTGGTGTACAGAACTCAACACCGGCAGGTGAGCTTGATGTCACTGGAGACCACACGGGCGCCGCGTCGGGCGTGGCCAGCGGACTTGGTGCGGTTTCAGTTTCCCGTGCGCCTCCATGTTCCACAACCACGTCAGGAACACGATTTCCACCCAGCGGAGTGGAAAAAAACTCCACAGTGAAATCCTCCTCGCCTCCAGTTTGAGTGACCTCCGGATCACGCCATGGCCACATTGCCGCCTCATCAAAGACGACGTCGCGTGACACATAAACTCGCCGTGACACCGGATCATACATCCGATAGGCTTTTGAGCCCTGCTCATAACCAATGAACACCATTCGTGTGCCACGATCATCAAGTTTCCTCAAATTTGGCTTCACTGTCTTGACGTAGCCGACACAGCCAAACACCTTCAGGTGTTCGACCGAGGGACGTCGCCCGTGCCACGCTTCATATGGCGTCACACCATCCAGGCTCTTTGTGGGCGACCGATTCCATAGATACACAGCCGCCATGACTGCCTCTCCCCAGAATTGTGCCGGCATCCCCGCCGCCTTGAGCATAGAGCGAGCAGCAGCGACGACAGTCAGGTTTCGCCTCTCGACGACCCCATTTTGTTGCGGCGAGTATGGAGCCGTGAGCTGGCGACTCACACCCCGATCGGCACAGAACTCAGTGAACTCGACAGAGGTAAATTCTCCTCCCCGGTCGGTGCGCAGCGCCCGCAGTTTTCGGCCGCTTTCCATCTCGACGCCGGCCTTGAACTGCTTGATCGCAGCCGCTGCCTCGTGCTTGCCGGAGAGGAGCCGTATCCACATGAAACGGCTCATGTCATCAACAAGGAGCAGGAAATATTTCCTGCCGCCTGGCGTTGCCGGCGCAATCGGCCCGCACAGGTCGCCATGAACCAGCTCGAGCGCATCCTGCGCCCTGAACCTGGCTTTGTCTGGGAACGGCACTCGTCGCTGCTTGCCGGCGAGGCACCCATCACACAGTTGATCGACGTGGTCAATCACGGGGAGTCCACGGACCATCTCCGCTTGCGCCAATCTCCGGAGGGCCTGGAAATTGAGGTGGCCGAAACGGGCGTGCCAACGCCACGCCGTCTCGGTGCCATTCGCCGCCAAACAGATGGGCCTCGCCATGTTCAACTTCAGAATGTACAGGAAGCTTGGGGAGCGCTTTACCTTGGCAAGCAGTAGACCATCAGGATCACGCAGCGTGCAGACACCATGGTATATGTGAGCATCGTAGCCACGCGCGTCAAGCCGGCCGATGGAGATGATATTCTTGCACAGCTTGGGGATGAAATACACTGCCTCTAGCGAGCGATGATCTCCATTCTTGCACTGGAACAACACGGTGCCGCGTCCCCTGATGTCCACAACTGAGCCATCACCAAACTTCACAGTACCAACAACACCGGTGTCGAGGTCAGCGAATGCCGACCGAGAGCCGGTCATATGATTGGTGGCCCCGGTATCCAGGAACCATTCCGTGGTGTTGTCCTCCTCTTCTGCAACCTCATGATTCAGAATCACCTTTTTCTCAGTGAGATGCACCTCGTGCACACCAGGTGTTCGCCCGAGTGTCTCCTCACCGGCGAGAGACACCCCCATGACGTGAGCCATGAGCAAGGTCAGCTCCTCCTCCCCCTGCGTCAGGTTTACTTCCCCTCGACGTTGGCGCCGCGGCTTGCGGCACTGCCTTGCAAAATGCCCAAACTCATCACAATTGAAACATTTTACCTTGGAGTAGTCACGGCTGGTGTTCCCACTGTTGATCGTCTCCTTCCCCTTCGGTGACCCACCGGCCTTGCCCCGACGGTTGTTCTGGGTGCCAGAGCTGCCCCTGCTCTTGCTGCTGCCGCCGGAGCCTTCCTGCTCCTGTTTCCTTGCGCGTGCCTGCCACTATTCCTCCGTGAGGTAGAGCTTGCCGCCGCCACCTTCCTCCTCATCATCACTGTATGAGTCGACCATCGACAGCCGCCCAACGAGCTCCTCAAGGGCCATCGTTTTCACGTCGAGAAGCTGCTCGAGGGAAATCGCCACCGGCTTGTACTTCTTGGGCACAACGCGCAGCAGTTTCTTGTTGATGTGTTCGTCTTCCATGACTCCACCCATGTCGCGAATGTCCGCGACGACAGCAGTGAGTCGCATCGCGAACTCCTCCGGTGTCTCTCCATCCTTGAAGCGCATCGCCTCGAATTGGCGACGGAAGCCCTGCTCCTTCGCCTCACGCACACGGTCGACGCCGACCCGCATGGTCTTGATGGCGTCCCACGCCGCCTTCGCCGTGTCATGCTTCGCCAGCCCGCGCAACATCTCGCGCGGCACCGCCTGAAGGATTGCCGAGAGAGCCGCCCGATCGTCGCGGTACTCCGCGTATCCGGGTTCAATCGCCGTCCACAACCCCTGCGCCTGTAGGTTTACACGCATCAACAATGCCCAATCCGGATAATTGGTCCTCGACAGCACCGGGAGGCGAGCAGTGTGCCCAGCATCTCTCCTCTGTGGCACGAGAGGAAGGTTTGCGCCGTCTGCGCCACCCCCCGCGCCGCTGCCACTTGCGCCTCCGCGCCCGCTGCCGCTTCCGCCGCCACCACCGCCACCACGGCGTCCGGGCGGTGTGTATCGCCCGCCATCATCAGACATCGTCTCAGGACCGTCGTGGTACCGCTCTGATACCAATTGTCAGCAAAACGGAAAGAACAAACTCTGAAATCGCTCACACTCGCTCACTCTGAAAATTGCCGGACAACGACAGTAACCTAAAGAAGTTTGGGAAACGTCAAGAACTGAAGAACAAAGTAGAATTTTTGTGCAGCGCAACCTCTGCTGCTTTTCTGTTTTCACTCTTTATTCTCCTCCACCAAAACGGAGTTTGTTACATGCACAACTGAACGGAACGAGCAACCCGGATCGGCTACTGACCGCGCCATCCCACGATCTGAAACCAGGTCATTCGACAGCTAAACAAAACTGACAACATGCAGAAGGGAACAGCTATTCTACCGACCGGCCAAAACAACCTTCAGCCAGCCACTACGTTCATGCAAAACAGAAATATAAAATGCTCAAGATTACAAAATATCCAACAATCGCATCCCAAGGCGATCATGGATCTCTACCTCGACCTCAAGGTCATGGTGAACACCCTGCCGGAGTCCAAACGCTCCCACCTGGCAAACAAGGAGGTTCAAAACCTCGTCGCCACCATCGACAAGGGCACGGGATCAGGCTGTGGTGGTCATGGCGATGGTGGTAGTTGCATCGTCTGGCTTATGGGACACTCACTCGGCGCTTCTCTGGCGCTGGACGTGGGGCGGGCCATGATGGCGGAGAAAGATTACAATCTCCCGACCTTCCTCTTCAATCCGCCACAGGTGTCGCTGGCACCGGCGATAGACGTGCTTCTCCCGACGAAGAAAGCGAGGAGGTCCATACATGCAGCCAGCTCCTTCCTGAAGGCAAGAATGGACAAGGTCCTGAAGCCCCACAAGGAGCGCATGGAGAAGCTATTCGAGCAACTGTCGCCGTGGGCACCGGAGCTGTACGTGCATGAGAGGGATCTCATCTGCAAGGGCTACATCAGCTACTTTGAGCAACGGGAGCAGGTGAAGGAGCGGTTCCGTGGCGTAGGCAAGTCGGCGATGGCGTTGTCGTACCGTGACATGTTGTTTGCCGCGTTCGGGAAGGAGAAGGAGCGACCGCACCTCCTGCCAACGGCGAGACTCTAGAAGAACTCGAGCATGGACGGTGACGCACATGATCTCTAGCAGTGGTGGAGGCCGGATCGTGAGCTAGCCTTGAGCGCCAAGCGATACAACTATCCTTGAGCATATGGATGTTCTATTCGATCGACCGGAATATGCTTTGTCATGTTTAAGTTATACAACCTTATTAAAGGAAAGAATTACTTTACATATAGTTGATTTAATCGTTATCTCTATGCGGCTTATTCCTGAAGACCTGAAGGAACTCTTCAATAGTTGGATCTCCATCTTCGTATACTTCTCTGTAGAGGTAGTAATAGCTTGGGTGAGCACACGGGGTACTCAGCAAGCCATGTGAATTACTATAGCCTGCAAGGGTTGCCAAAGGAGGGTTTGGTTTTATTTTGCAAACCAGGTGATTTAAAATGTTTTGGAAATTTTTAAGTGTGCTCCTTAAGTTGTCAGAGAGAGGCTCACACCTTAATCCATTTTGTGAGTTGCTTTGCGACAATTCACCATAATTATTGAGAAGAGACTCACGTCTCAGCCCATTTCACAACTCGTTTTACAACGACTTGTCGCAATTCCGATTCAGAGTGTACTGTCTCAGATAATACCTCTATTTTTTGTGTTCACTTTCTTTTCTCAATCACATCTCAACTTTGCTCAACCAATTCCTTGCGACACGCATGTCACATAGTCCTATTTTAGACAACTCAGGTCTTCCATAGGCTGCTTTTGGTAATGATTCCCAAACCACACAAACAAGTTCCATAATACTTTTCTAAAACAAAACTACGCTAGAGGAATCACTTCATATTGCCTATGATTGTTGGCATGACTGTTCGACGTCGAACAGATTTTAACCTTTGCAAGGGGGGCACGCTTTGCACATGACGCGAGCTTATACTCTAAACACCCAACGCATATTGATCAAATGTGACTAGTGAAAGGAGGTTCCCGATCGACTAGGACGTTCTGAAGTATTTCAGGATAGCCGGTTGTCAACTGAACGGGTCTTAGATAAAGTACCGAACAAGTCCCAGACTTCTCGTACTCAGGATCCCGCAAGTGCATCCTAGATGCCACATTGACGATTCCACATCCACCGACTTCCACACACATCCAGGGTCCACTTATTACATGACAAGGGACGTCCCACTCCACCCATATGGTCGCACTTTAACATGATCAGTGAAATTCTTAAACAGATCGGTCCTTTATATACCATGCGGAAGTCAAGGCCACGCAGGTGTAGGGGGGGAGGGCTAATGGGCGATCGATCGCTAGGGCAATCGCCCAGCGATCGGATCCGCCCCCCCTCCCCCTATACTCCTCCCTCTTCTCCCGCTTCCTCCTCCCCTTCTCCTCTTTCTACTACAGTAGACCACACAAATTTTTAAAAAAACAAAAGTTAGAAAAATTTATGTATAGAAATACTATATATAAAAAATTTGAATTCAAATTCAAATTTGAATCGGGTATATGTAAACTTTTGACTTATAAACTTTGGGTCTATAAACTTTAGATGTATAGAAATACTATATATAGAAAATATTTGAATTCAAATTCAAATTTGAATCAGATATAATTCAAATTCAAATTTGAATCGGGTATATAAACTTTAGGTCTATAAACTTTAGGTGTATAAACTTTAGATGTATAGAAATACTATATATGAAAAATATTTGAATTCAAATTCAAATTTGAATCGGATATTTGAATTCAAATTCAAATTTGAAACGGGTATATAAACTTTTGACTTATAAACTTTAGGTGTATAAACTTTAGATGTATAGAAATACTATATATATAAAAATATTTGAATTCAAATTCAAATTTGAATCGGATATATAAACTTTTGACTTATAAATTTTGGTCTCTAAACTTTAGATGTGTAAACTTTAGGTGTATAAACTTTAGGTGTATAAATTTACTAAAATAGGAAAGTAAATAGGAAAGTAATACGGTGCCAAAAAAGGAAACCAGGTGGAGAGATGGAGGGAGGGAAGGGGAGGGGCCGGGGTGGAAAACTGATCGCCCTGGGCGAGGCTCGCTCAGTAGCATTTCCGCACGCAGGTGTGACTACCCATCACCAGGTTTCACAGAACCATTTTATTTCACAAAGCTTCCGACCACAAGTGTCGATTTTTCCAAACCATTTTATCCCATCGTCAGGTTATACTATAAATACTCGAAGAGTACAAGTATCAAGAAGACAACAGCAAGCTACAACGATATATACATGGTATTCAACAAAAAGGATATATGCATGGTATTCAACAAACTAGGAAGGTAAGTGCATCAAGTGGGTTCATGACCTATCGGATCGACTTGCGAACTGCAGCCCATAATGTATACCTAAGCATGCATGGTTGATAAACAAAAGAATTTTTAATTTAAAATATAGGATCTATATGGTCAAAAGGAATCAGGAACCAGATCCTCTAACGTAGTGGATTCTATGTTCCTCTACGGTGCTCAAGCCTTTTATGTTCCTCTGATGTAGAATCTGGTTGTGGAACCAGATCCTCTAACGTAGTGGATTCTATGTTAGAGGGACGTAGAAAGCTGCAGTATCGTTTATTCCACATCTGACGGAAATGCTCGTTTTCCTTGGATAAGCCCAAAAGTGCAGTGCTTCGCGGCCCAGTTGCGAACAAAACAAAGGGGGAGAAACGACGATCGGAGAAAGAAAACGAAGCTGCCACTAGTCAGCCATGGCCGCCGGCCACTCGCTGTCGCTAGTCGTCTCCCTTGAACGGGTAACAGGTGTGCAAGCCGGCGTGGGAGCGGAAGAGAAGATGAGACATGAGTAAAGAATCAGCATAGTTGCATTACTCCGATCGATCGAGCTGCTACTGTTCGTTTCCTCCTCCTTGATTTACGTCTGTTGCAACAAAATACTTCCTCTGTCACTAAATATTTGATGCCGTTAACTTTTTAAAATATGTTTAACCGTTCGTCTTATTTAAAAACTTTTGTGAAATATGTAAAACTATATATGCATACATAAAAGTATATTTAACAATGAATCAAATGATAAAAAAATAATTAATAATTACTTAATTTTTTTTAATAAGATGAACGGTCAAACATATTTAAAAAAATCAATGGCGTCAAATATTTAGAGACGGAGGGAGTAGCTGGCAGAATGTGCCAGAGGAAAAAGAAGAGGCGAGCATGCGCACAAGTTGAGGAACGTGAGATTACTTGCTGAGGTTCCAAAGAGTTGCCGGTATTGAGGCATTGAGCATGGCGCGGGCGCGGTTGGTCCGCAAATTTTTGAAGCCCATCGACGCGGACCTCAACCTCCATGCCAGGGCAGCAAAACCGCGTGGGCGAGGACCTGGGAGCAAGGGATGGAGAGGAGGGCGGCGGAAGAAGGGGCTTCCTCAGGGATTTGCTTGACCTGTACCCTCGTAGTGGGAGGCGATGATCGACGAGTGGCAGCGAGTGGCTAGCGGCCATGGCCGACTAGCGGCGGCTTCGTTTTCTTTCCATGCATGGTTGTTCCCCTCCGCTTTGACCGCATCTGGGCCGAACCATCGTGCTTCTGGACCGGTCGAAGGAGGGCGGAGGCTAGAGAAAGCCGGCGCTGCCGTCAGATGCGAAATAAACGGTGCTCAAGCCTTCTACGTCCCTATAACGTTAGAGGATCTGGTTCCGGTCAAAAGGTGACTTGACTTTGTCCCACGCTGGATCTTCTCCTTCGAAACTTCAATCATTCGCTCCTCGGTTTCAAGAGAATTTGAGGTCCACACTTGGCACGCACTTTGAGATTCAAAAGATATCTAAATTCCACAAATAATTTTTATTCCAATTAGTTTTTCATGAACGCAAAATCACGGTCGTTACAGTTATCAGCGACTAAAATGGAAAAGGAGGAAAAAGTGAAAGGAAGCTTCATGGGCCTTACGGGCCCAAAGTAAAAGTATACGTCGCGGGTGCATATGCTCGAAGATGTAGGCGGCCGGGGTGAAACGGTGGACACGGCTAGCCGCCCATGGATTTGTTTGCTGAATCGCTTCCTCCTACTAATCGTCCGGATAACCACTTGACGTTTATCTGACCGAATCTTATTGCTCAGAATTGATTATTGCTCAGAATTGATTAGCTGTAGTAGCAAAATACCAAGAATTTACCAATTTACTAAAGGCAAATTGCCCACGCTATATTATTACCACTTACTAAATGTTAAATATAATACCACAATTGGGTTTGATGTCAACGAGTTAATATTTGCAGTGTGTACTACTGGAGAGTAGAGTACTATTGCCGTCCTGGGTGTGTAAAAATAGCACATATGTTTACTGTGGTATATATAGCAGGATCTTTTTTAATCTGTTTCGCAGAGTGCACTAATGGGGGATTGTTTTTAGCAAGTCAGTGCAGCTTACAGTAAGCACCATTATCAGCCTCAACCACCTCTTAATCCAGTTCTATAAATACAAGCGCATTCGCAGAGCACGATCACAAGCAGTCAAGCACGAAATTAGCACAGTGTAGTGCATCAGCTTCGTTCTTACAGAAGAAGCACAGGATCGTCGTGCTCTTTCTTCTTAAGCTCCCATTAATTCCGCAAGAAGAGTCGTCACTCAATAGATCAGTCATCGCCGGTCTGCTTCCTCTAGCTACCTGCTGTTTCATTGATCGCATTTGCCGATGGCTTCATCAAGGGACTTTGATCACGCTGACTGCTTCGACAACTCCGGCCCAGTGCATATGATGGCGAAGAACGGCGCCGGTTCTCCTCGAACGGTGCTTGACTGGTATATATGCATATGGCCATGTCCTTGTATTTTTACGGTGGTTTTTACTGGTTATGGAAGCAATCTAGACTTCTTAGCTTTTCTTATCTGATGAACTATTTATATTACATAGATGTTTTGATTTTTTTCTGTCAAAGTTAAACCTATAAAAAGTTGACTTAGGAAAAAGTCAAAACTACATATATAATATTAAACCAAGGGACTACCACATAGATCACTTTTATTTGTAAAAATGCTGATAGCAAAACAATAATAGTGGATATCATCGTGAAACATAAAACATATATAGGTGTGTAAATTTTACTTTGCATGCACCAGATAAAGCGCACCTAGTTTCACTTTACATCAAATTTAGCATATACTTTCAGTTTACACCAGATTACCTTCAAATAAGTTTTACTTTGCACCAGGATATAAATCATCAAATACGATGAAACTTTGTGAAAAGTGGTATAAATTCAAAAAAAAATATTGTAAGTTTCACTCGTGATTTTACAAGATTTTCCAGTTATATAACACAAACTAGTAAAACTAAAATTTATTTTACTATACTCTCTGATGCAAAGTAAAAGTATGCACTAAACCCGTCAAAAGTGAAACAAGATACATTTTATCCGGTGCAAAGTACAATTGATTCTATATAAATTGATGTGTATATCGACCATGCATATGTACTCGCAGGGGCAAGGAGGAGCACCGCCGTTGCGTCGCTGCCTGCCTTGTCAAAGGTGTCTACATCATAGAGAATGACAGTACTAGGCGCAGGGTGCACACCAATGCGCTTGCGCCACCGTGGTGGGAGAACTTCGGGTTTAACCTCCTCGATGTTATTCGAGATGACTCCGATCATGATGACCAATTCATTATTGGCGCAATATACGAGCATGTGCCACCTCTTGGCGAGCCCGCTCATCCTCTGTCTCCTCACTATGTGGTCGCCTTTCGTGGCACCATGATGTCACACCCCAAGGCGCTCATTGATCTGTACCTCGACGCCAAGATCATGGTGAACACCCTCAAAGAGTCCAAGCGATCCCGCCTAGCAAACACCGCGGTTAAAAAGCTTGTTGCTACCATAGACAAGGGCATGGGAGGCGCCTGTGGCCATGGCACTGCAGGTAGCTGCATTGTTTGGCTCGCGGGACACTCGCTTGGTGCTTCCCTTGCGCTGGATGTGGGGCGTGCCATGATGGTGGAGCAAGGCTACAACCTCCCGACCTTCCTCTTCAATCCGCCACAAGTGTCACCGACTCCAGCGATCGATGTGCTGCTACCGATAGAGAAGGCACAAAAGGCAAAGAGGGACATATATGCCGTGAGCTATTTCGTGAAGGCAGGGTTGGGCAAGGTCTTGAATCCCCACAAGGAGCGCATGGAGAACCTCTTCAAGCGGCTATCACCATGGGCACCGGAACTATACGTGCACGAGAGGGATGTCATTTGCAAGGGTTACATCGACTACTTCGAGCAACGGCAGCAGGTGCAGGAGCGCTTCCGTGCAGTCGCTACGTCAGCAATGACGTTGTCGTACCGCGACATGTTCTTTTCCATGTTCGGAATGGAGAAGGAGCAACCGCACCTTCTACCATCGGCGAGGCTGTGGAAGAGCACTAGCAAGGACGAGGACGCACACGCTCTGCAGCAATGGTGGAAGCCGATGGGTGAGCAAGCAATGGTGGAAGCCGATGGGTGAGCAGAGTCTGAGTGTTAGGCGGTATAGCTATCCTTTGTGAAATTAGGTATTATGCGTAAAATTTAGCGAAATAAAACATACTAAGGGAGGCATCATTGACTTATTTATAATTTTTTTCAGAGATATAATAATTTAAATTTTTAAATTTATAAATATGGAGTTGTATCATATCATACTCAATTTAACATTCTGTTAATCTGACTTTGAAATTTGAAATTAATAATTAGTGAGTTACGTACATTAAGGAAATGGTTGAAACTCCTCTAATGTCATTTTTTCCGCATACAAGAAAAATTTAGGAAAAAGTTTGAATTACCTCCTGAACTATCGCGGCCGACCGAATTACCCCCTAAAGCACAAAACCGGACATTTAGTTTAAACCCTGAACTATTTAGATCTGATGGATAACCCCCCTAGCACAATCCGGAGCGGATTTAGTCCATGTGGCCGCACACGTGGCACCGGCCCCACATGTCAGCCTCCACCTCATCATCCCTCCTATATGAAGCTAGTGGGCCCCACATGTAAGCTGCTCTCTCCTCATCCTTTGTCTACAAGCTACAGCTAGATATACTTGCACCGCCACCAGGCACCTGTTGCATCTCCCGTGGTCCTGCCGCTGGCCACCGTATTAGCTGCTGCCCTAGAAATCCTCAGCCGTTGCCCAAAACGCCTCCGCCACCAGCCACCGCCACAACAACACCATCGTCGAAGGGCGCTCGACCGCTCCCTTCCTCCCCTCCCCCTCCTTATCGCCGAGCAAGCTGGATCCATCCCTCTTCCACTGCCGCCGTCGCCTCTTTCCACTGTGATGTGGCCGATTTGTTGGGAAGAGCGCGGCAAGCTTGGCGTCCATAGCGACGGTGGCATAAGCGTAGCTAGAGAACGTCAGCAGGAGAAGATGGACATCACAGAGCCCATCCACTTCCGCCCTGCCTCATCCGCTATCAAGAGCCCGTCCTCCACCAGGCACCTGCATCGTCGCCCGTGGTCCTGCCGTCGACCGTCGCACTAGCTGCCACCCCGGAAATCCTCCGCCACTGCCCAGAACGCCTCCGCCACCAGCCAACTTCCCCATTCCTAGCCTTGTCCCTGGCTGGCCGCTGCCCTCATCTGGAACCCTGCCTCCTCCAGCCGATCATCGCCGCCGTTGCCCCCAACAAACCGCTGGAGAGGGAGGGAGAGAGAGGGGAGAGGAAAGAGGGAGAGAGGAGAAAAGAGATGACAAGTGGACCCTACAAATTCATTATTGTTGTTTTTCCTAACTGGATTGCCAAGTTGACGTCACATATGTAAGTTTTTTTATCAAAACTGCTCAAAGCAATGATGGGGGGTGGGGGGGGGAGTTATGTAACATCCCAGCAAATAATTGAGAAAAGAAAAGGAGGGAAAAAAAGGGCAAAAGCAGCAGCAGGCCTTGGCCCTTGGCCCATGCGTGCAGCTCAGCAAGCTAGCTAGAAGCAGCGCTAGCAGCCGTGAACACTATAGCGCGCTAAATATCCAATATCATTTTTAGGCCCTGGGTGTCACATGTTATAAAAGGTGTGGTCCAACTAATAAGATGGACCCAATACCGTTTTCGGGCCGGGGTGTCATAGGTTAGAGTGCAAAATGTCCGGTTTAAATAGTATAGGGTCATTTTTGGGCTCTGGGTGTCACAAGTTATTCGTCCGGTATAAATAGTATAGGTTCCAAAATATCCAGTTTTATGGTTCGAAGGTAATTGTACTTTTTCCAAAAAATCATATTGTATGTACAAAATCTTTTGAAACCCCTCTAATACCACTCTTGTGCATATGTGCTTGATAGTTCTGACACCATTGGTTGCGAACGTATATTTTACATGGGTTGTAGTACACACAAGAAAGCGGTTAAAACTCGCTTGTCGAATATAACTTTTACACGTATAGGAATATTTTAACACTATTGGTTGCAAAAGTATGTTAACTTATATGAGCACTTTCTTTTAATATGATCCAATCCAATGCAAAATACCCGTGTGTTGCAACAGGCACTAGTACAGATCCTTCCATCTGTGACGGCCCATAACAAGACTGGAATTTGCGGGCCGTCACAAGGAAGTAATCTCAATCGGGCGAAACTCAATCGGGCCGAAGTTTCGCCCGATTGAGATATGGTCGCACAGCCATGGTATATCGGCATAAAACTAAAGCCCGTCATGGATGACACTTATCTGTGATGGGCTATAGTTGAGGCCCGATTGAGATAAGGGTTCCATATCTCAATCGGGCCCTAAAAGAAGCCCGTCACATATGAGGGTCATCTGTGACGGGATCCAACTAGAGGCCTGATTGAGATAAGTTTATTGCCCGTCATAGATGACACTCTTTTTTGACGGCCTTTTATTAAGGCCCGATAGAGATTACTTGTATGCCTGTCACGGTTGATTGTTTTAGGGCCGTTACAGATATTTGTTGCACAGTATAAATACCCCCACCACCTAGTGTAACTGTATCCCACTGTTCACTATTTTGGTGGGAGGCTGTAGGGGGCGATTTTTTGTCCTTTTTCCAAGGAAAACAGAAATTAAATTCCCAAAAGTGATCAAAATGGATCAATCAAGTGAGTAATATAAATCATTAATTGAGCAATTTTATCACGTCTTACTTTTGCAATACTGATCTTATAATATGTGCCTCTAATTTGTTTTTTTTTTGTAGAAATTGATCGAAGTTGGATGTATGCCAAAAATTTGAAACGTCATTCTACGGAGTACCGAAAGGGCGTAATAAATTTTATGAACGCCGCGGAGGAGGATCGGATAAGAAGAAACAGTGATTACATGTGTTGTCCATGTGCAGATTGCAAGAACGAGAATATGTTTGATAGCGGAGAGGACGTACACGGTCATCTGATACAACAAGGATTCATGGAGGGCTATACATGTTGGGTGAAGCATGGAGAGCAAGAATCAGGAAGTGGAGCAGCAGCAGACAGAAGTGATGCGCATAATCAGGAAGATGAAAATGAGCATGACATGTTTATACCTTCTCCATTGGGCGGTGAAATGGTTGATGTGGATCACGATCTGCTGCAAGACATGTTACGTGACGTTGAGGACCCAGCCCAGAATGAGAGAGATGGAATGAAATTCAGCAGGTTGGTAAGTGATTCCGAGACGCCTTTGTATGCTGGATGCAAAGCAAAACACACTAAGTTGTCAGTTACCTTGGACCTAATGAAGCTGAAGGCAAGTAGTGGATGGACAGACAAGAGTTTCACAGATCTTTTAGGAATTTTGAAGGCTATGCTTCCTGTTGAGAACACATTGCCCGAGACGACATACGAAGCAAAGCAGGTTCTGTGTCCACTGGGGTTAGAGGTCCGTAGAATTCACGCTTGTCCCAACGACTGCATATTGTACCACAAGCAATATGCGGACTTGGATGCTTGTACTGTCTGCAAGGCTTCTAGATACAAGCGAAAGAAAAGTGCTGACGAAGGAAATAAGTCAAAGAGGGGTGGTCCGGCAAAGGTTGTGTGGTATCTACCTATCATTGATCGTTTCAAGAGAATCTTTGCCAACCCGAACGAAGCGAAGTTAGTACGTTGGCATGCCACGGAAAGAAGGAATGATGGTATGCTTAGACACCCAGCGGATTCGATTGAATGGAGGAATATAGATCGAAAACACAAAGACTTTGCTGCCGACCCTAGAAACATGAGGATATGTCTTTGTACGGATGGCATGAATCCTTTCGGTGACATGAGTAGTACTCACAGCACTTGGCCAGTTCTTATTGCGAACTATAACCTCCCACCATGGTTATGCTTTAAACGGAAATATATTATGTTGTGCTTGTTAATCCAAGGTCCAAGGCAACCCGGCAATGATATCGATGTATTCCTGGAGCCTGTTATCGACGATCTGGAGATTCTTTGGAAAGAAGGTGTGGAAACTTGGGATGCATATGGTCAGGAGAACTTCAAGCTAAGAGTTCTATTGTTTTGCACCATTAATGACTACCCTGCACTTGGTAATTTTTCCGGACAAACTATAAAAGGAAAGAAGGCATGCTCCGATTGCAAGGAACATACACGAAGCCGGTGGCTGAAGAAATCACGAAAGATGGTATACATGGGTCACCGGAGGTGGCTACCGCTACGTCACACATTTAGAAGAAAGAATAAAATTTTTAATGGTAAGAGTGAACTTCAGCCTACTCCCAAAGATTTGTCCGGAGATGAGGTCCACAATATGGTCAAGGACATAAGCAATGAGTTTGGGAAGAAAAGAAAACGTAACAAGACAAAGGAGAAGGGTATGTGGAAGAAAAAATCCATATTTTGGTGGCTACCTTACTGGAAAGATCTTGATGTCCGTCATTGCATTGATCTCATGCATATTGAAAAGAATGTGTGTGAGAGTTTGGTTGGCCTGATGTTGAATATTCCCGGGAAGACAAAGGACGGGTTGAACGCACGCCTTGATCTATAGGACATGAATATTCGCAGCGAACTCCAGCCCATACGAGATGCAGAGACAGGTAAAGTGTAACTCCCTCCAGCCTGCCACACACTGTCGAAGGATGAGAAGATCGCAATGTTATCATGCTTGAAGGATATTAAAGTTCCATCGGGCTATTCAGCGAGGATAAGTAAGTATGTTAAATTGGACGATCTAAAACTTGTTGGAATGAAGTCTCACGATTGCCACGTGCTAATCACACAAATCTTGCCAGTTGCTATCAGAGGCATTCTACCACCGAAAGTGCGTCACACGATCCAACGTCTGTGCGCCTTCTTCAATGCAATTGGACAGAAGGTTATAGATCCAGAAGATCTAGATAGGCTGCAGACCGATATTGTGAATACCCTCTGTCACCTGGAGATGTTTTTCCCACTGTCTTTCTTTGATATAATGGTTCATCTCCCTGTTCATCTGGTGAAGCAAACAAAACTATGTGGCCCGGCTTTTCTAAGGGAAATGTGGCCGTTTGAAAGGTACATGGGAGTTCTGAAGTCGTACGTTCGTAACAGAGCTAAACCCGAGGGGAGCATCATTGAAGGTTACACGACCGAGGAGGCTATTGAGTTCTATGTCAATAACATGTCCGATGCCGATCCTATCGGAGTTCCAGCGTCTCGTCATGAGGGAAGGTTGTCAGGTGTTGGCACAATCGGAAGGAAAAGAATTAGGCTCGATCAAGCGTCGTACGCGCAGGCTCATTACGCTGTGCTCCAACATATGGCAGAAGTTGGCCCATACTTTGAGGAGCACTTAGCGAAAATCCGAGATGAGAACTTGGGGCGATCTGATGCATGGATTAACAGAGAACATAATTCTCGGTTCAACGAATGGTTCAAGAATCGTGTGACAATGTCTACGGATGTCCCAAATGAGACAGTACAGTTGTTGGGGATGGGACCGTCTTGGACCATAGACACATGGCAAGGATACGATATAAATGGATACACATTTTACACTGTCAAACAAGATGACAAAAGCACAGTGCAAAACAGCGGCGTCCGTATAGATGCATTCTAGGATCAAGTTGGGTCAAACACATACTACGGCCGCATTGAGGAGATCTGGGAGCTAAACTACGTCAAGTTCAAGGTTCCTTTGTTCCGCTGCCGTTGGGTGAATCTACGCACTGGTGTCAAAGCCGACAAGGAAGGTTTCACTTTAGTAGATCTATCTAAGGTGGGATACGCCGATGAACCATTTGTACTTGCGAAACAGGTCGAGCAGATATTCTACATAAAAGACCCTTCAAACAAGAAGATGCACATCGTGAGGGATGGAAAGCGCCGAATTGTATGATTTGACAACGTCGTCGATGAAGAAGAATACAACCATAATCTTCATGTAAGACCTCACATTGACCTTGACGATGATCCCCAAGAACCTGTGGCATATGCTCGTTCAGATCATACCGAAGGCATAACCTTGTGACTGATGCATTTGTACTTATCTATTGTAATGACTGAAGTATTTTGTTTTATTGCAAAGACTTGATATATGTAGTCATTAATATGGCTAATTTTGTTTTATTACAAATGACCAAAATAAAAGTTGTAGATCGTGATGAGAGGATCAACTTTGTTGTTGACCATATTTCAATTTGAATCATTTAGTATTTACAAATGCTGTTAATTAGATTTGTCACATTGTCGAAATCAATTTCAAGCTGTTGGGAAAAAAATTATATAGAATAATGACCAAAATAAAAATATTAGATCTTGAAAGGCTCTACAACTTTGTTGTTGACCATATTTCCA